TTCGGTAACCCCTTCAGAGGATGGTGTGGTAAGAATAGGAGGTAGGAATTGGCTAGGCAGTTAGGGTAAAAAGACCCCAAAGAAATGTAACCAGTTTCTTGGCTAAAAGTCAAATGTCCTTAGGACTGTTAGCAACATACTCTGTTCCAAGGCCAAAACTGTCAAAGGTATTTGGGAACTTGTATCTAATCCTTAAAAGATTTTAGGGTTACCTCTGCAGAGGGGGGGAATGTTAGAGGGGAGGGAGTGGGCATGGATTTGCTCAAAACACCTTATATGCATGTATGAAATTCTCAATAAAGTTTTTGTAAAAAAATTTTTTAAAAAGACATAGTTTCTAAACAAAACATGATGATCCAGGAACCCAGGCACCTTGAGGCATCGTTACCACATGGTTTGCACAGAAATGAAAGGTGAGTTCAGCACTTGAAAAATCTGCCAACATAGTTTGGGGCTGGAGAGAAGACTCAGCAGTTAAGAGCGCTGAGGTCCTTCCTTGCAGAGGAACCCACACGGTGGCTAACAACCATCTGTACTCCAGTCCAGGGGATCCGACACCCTCTTCTGACCTCTGTGGGCATTGCATGACACAGGTACATTTACTTACATGCAGACAATACACTCGTACATGTAAAATAAATACATAAAATATTTTTTAAGAAGAAAAAGAAGAATCTGTGAACATAGCTCACCGTGAGGTTGGCTCTTAGAGGCAGTAAACATTTGACAAAACACAGCATCCAATTATAAGTTTTAGAAGAAAAAGACAAAAGTCCAAACAACCAGGGATGAAAGAGCATGTTGGCGGTCTGATGAAGGGCCGTGAGGTGTGGGGCTAATGCCCTCCACAGTGCCAGGCAGCAGACACTCCCCCAAGGCCAGGGCCTGGGGGTCTTCTTTTGATGCTTCTGTTCAGCATCACCCTGGAGGCTCCAGCCAGCACTGAGGGACAGAACGAGTGATGGAAGACAGAGGTCAGAAAGAGGATCTGTTCCATTTTTAGACAGTACAAACCTCTGCAGAGATTATTCCAAGGAATGTTTGTAAACTAGAGCTGAACACAGCAGGTCTCAGGACAATGTCCATCTGCAACAACTAACCAGTTTCTCTAAATGAGCAGCAGCAGTTGGGAACAGAAGGGCTTTTTTGAAATAACATTTGGAACCGTATCATAAAGTGCTTAAGGATATATTTGAGAAGCTAGAGGCAGAGATTAAAAACTATAAAACAGGGGCTGGGATGTACCTCAGTGGTAGAGTGCTCACTTAGCTTGTGCCTCTGAGTTTCATCCCTAGCACCTAAGAAAGTTTAAAAAAAAAAAAAGGAAAAGAGGAAGGGAGAGAGTGAGCGAGGGAAAAAGAAAGGGAAGGAGGGAGAGAAAGAGAGGGAGGGAGGGAGAGAAGGAGGGAGGGAGGGAGAGAAGCTCAAAGGAGGGAATCAGGAATAAAGTTGCATTGAAGAAGCAAAGGTCAGTTGTATCCAAGTTCACAGAAGGAATGAACAGGAAGAAAACTGGTCCTGAATTCTTTGCAGCACTTGTGGGTTCTGACGTTTAGTCACTGGAATTTTGGCACTGATACGAATTTTCAAATATCTCTGAGAGGTGAAGAACCAGGCCCTTATTTTTGTCCTCATCCTTCTGAGTCATTGCTGGGCTGCCCACCGTCATCTTGCGACCTGCTTTATCTCTTTGTTAACTTGCTATCTTAACTTTTGTTTTGTTATTTTAGTGGTTACTGGAGTATTTGCAACAGATACTCAATTTATAAAAATCTACTTTTAAGTGGCTTTACAATCTTTAACATATAAGAAATTTATTAATTTCTCCCTCCTCTTTCGGCCTAAGTGCATGAGTTCTCGCACATATTAACTTTTGAACATCTATGGTGGATTTCTATTGCTGTGAATTGTATCTTTAATC